TATTCACCATTGAAGAAAAAATTCCTTATAGTACCACAAGATCCAAGTAATGCTTTGATACCATGTTAACTTTTAAGAGAAAAAATAATAATCCTTAAGAATCAACACTGATAAGCAAAAGCAAAACAAGATGAAGAAGAAGACTCAGGTAATAAAAGTTGGAAATTCATATTCATAATAGCTAAAATAGCTAGTTTTAAATACTGGAGCAAATGCAAAACTATTTGAAATGGACCACACAATCTATCTGGTACATTGCTAAACAAAAGAAAATAGGTTGCGTGGCCATTACATCAACCGAGGCTAATAGCCAAAGGAAATAAAAAACAACCAAAAATAAAATGAAATAAGAACACGTGCATAGCATGTTGATAAGATAAGTAAAGAAAGCATGTGAAAATTACATGATTGTCACTTTCCCAAACAGTTTAAAAAAGGTTCGTGCCATATTGTAATTTAACCTCCCACCTTCAACACAATTTTTGTCTTTTGTCAAAATTACCTTGAATTTTTTTCATGACAAAAGCCCACGTAACCTTATGTCACCTAACATCTCAACAAACCCTTTATGAGTTTTGCATTCTCTCCCATCATTAAACCCATTTGAAAGTTCCAAAGATGAAAAATCAATGTAGTATTTATAGTATCAAATAATAAATTAGGGTTTATTCTTAATTTACACAATTTAATAATTACTTTTATAAGTATTTACAAAGCTATCTTTTTCCCCTTAGTTTTATCCTTTATACTTTCCCTCAAGAGAAGCTTGAATGTCCATAATGCTCATCTTGCCTATCAAATGGTAGAACTGTATAGGTTGCAATTCTTTTGTGAACATGTTTGCCAATTGATTCTTTGTAAAAACATGTTTTGGAATAATGATTCCTTCTAAGACATCATCTTCAATAAAGTGACAATATTTCTATATGTTTAGTCTTTTTATTAAATATAAGATTTTTACATATCTGGAAAGCAAATTGATTGTCACAATAGAAGTCAATTGATCCTTGATGTGTAACACCGAAATCTACAAGTAGAGATTGAATCCATACAGTTCATAATAGGCGACAACCATGGTCCTATATTCAACTTTTACGAAACTCTTTGCCACTACAAATTGTTGTTTAGATTTCTAGTTGGCAAAAGAATCTCATATAAGCACACCAAACTTGTAATGGACCTTCTAATGTCTTGACAACCAACTCAATCGTTGTCAGTATACACCTTTAAATGCAAATTAGAATGAAATGCTAATAGTATACCTTATCTTGGTGCTTTCTTCAAATACTTAAAAACCCTATCATTGGGTTTATCCATAATCTGTGACAAGCATTGGACAACGTATGCTATGTCAAGTCTAGTGAAAATCCATATAATGATTATTGACATTAGCAATGACTTTGTAAAACGATTTGCAAAATTATTAGTGGAGCAAATCTATTCAATGTCAACTTATCTACTTTTTTGGAGTTTGTGAGTATAGAAAAATTTTGGCAAGATATGTTTGGTCCTATCACATTTAATATATCCTCCTTTGACTTGTGAAACACAAGTAACATTATCTTTATAAATTATAGTGGGAAAATTTGTAATTGATGTTAAACAATAAGAATTATGAATATGTGTTATAACGAATCTTAACCAAACACACTCTTTTCCAACTTCATATAGAGTGATAATTTTGGAGTGGTTAAAGAATGTAACTACTAGTGTTTGCTTAGTAGAGCACTAAGAAATGGCAATGCCATGATAGCAACATAAATAACATAGTGCAAGTTATTCATCTAAATTTAACTTTAGGTAGAAAATTTTTTCAAAATTTTTTTTATAAAAGGAGAATTCAAACTTAATTTTTGTAAAAAAGATAAATTAATTTACATATTTTAGAATCAAATAATTAAGTAAGAAAATATTTATATATATTTTTTAACACCATAAATCTTTTACACTTAAATTTTTAGCTTATTAATAAGCATATCAATAAAATACTTAAAGATTTATACGTTTTAAATATTTTTTCAATTTAGTCTTTCAACATCTCAATTTTGTTTAATTTAGTTCCTATATTATATATTTTTGTTCAATTTAATCCTTATGACATGGTAGAATTTTTTTTTTTTGAATTTTTTTGATCTGTCACATGAAACTGACATGTTAACATGTTAACACCACATCAACACTAACACATCATCATCTAGTGCCATGTGACATTGTCACATCATCACTCAATGCCAAGAGGTATGATCACATCATCAAAATGTGACATATCAATGTTGATGTCATCGCTGACGCCATTTTTTAACGATAAAAATGGATGCAATTATGGAAAAGGATTAAATTGATGAAATTTTCAAAATTAATAGACTAAATTGCTTCAATTTTGTGTACAGGGAGTAAATTGAACAAAATTGAAGAATATAAAGACTGGATAAGTCTTTTGACCACAATAAGCACATGTCATCTTCCTCCTAATCCTTGAAAGTCTAGGTTTACTCTTTCTTTCAAGTGCTCCCTTATTTTTTTTCGTGGAAAGCTGTAGACACCTATTCCCTAAATAAAGATTAATCAAAAAATAAATAAAATAATTAAATAATATAATAAAAATTAAAATTAAAAAAGAAAAACAAAAAAAAAGAGAACAAAGGAGGGAAAAGACTAATGTTGCTCAGCCTCCCTCTCCAGTCACCTCCAGCTACCTACCACAAGCTTGCTTGTGCCAAGAGCTCTATAAAATTACATGATTTCACCTTTGATTGTCCAAATATTTAGACAATCTAGCTCTTAAAAAAAGAGCAGAACAACAAAAGGGGGGAGACATTTGAAGACCAAAAAAACGATTCAAAAACAAATCTTTCAAAAACCAAAAAAGCCGAATTCAAATCACAAACGTAGATCTTCCAAACTAAGAAAAAAAAGAATAAAAAATCGTAAACTACCAGTCGACTACCTAGCCACAATCAAAACCAAAAAGAAAACCAAAATACCAAAGAAAACCAAAAAAGGGAAATGGGTTTTTTTGGGTTTTGAGAGGGAGTAGAAGAGAGGATTAAGGCTGAAAGTTTGAGAAAAAGAAAGGAAAATTTGAAAAAGAAAGGGGAAGAGAGAAGAAGAAAAAGAAAAGGAGAGAAAAGAAAAGTCACCAGCGGTGAGAGAAGATGCTGGCGAGGAAGAAAGAAGAAGAAAGAGATAGAAAAAGAAAAAGAAATAGAGGAAGAAAGAAGGCCGTGAAGAGAAAGAGGGAAGAAAGAAAAAGTAAAGAAAAAAAGAGGGAGTCCTTTTCTTTTTCATGTGTTTTCAATTATAACCACTAACAACTTCTCATGTATAAAAAAATTGTTATTTATCATATACTATAATAATTCACTAGGTTAGAGATAGTCATGAATTTTGAGATTGCATTTATGAATTTGGTTGTCTTTAAATTCATGAATTTGTTAGAAATATAGAGATGGAACAATCCAAATATCTTAGGCCCACTCCAAGAGTGCCAAATTTAAAGACCTACCGTTCCAAGAAAATGCCATTTTAATTAAAAAATTGGTAGTTAAATGAACACTCAAAGGGTGGAAATTAAATGCCAATGATGCCGATATTGCAAAGTATCCTAAAGGCCAATGTTTCATATGACCATTAAGTACAAAGGATGTCATTTATGTGTATACAGAGGCATCCACACAAGAAACTCCAAACAACTTGACCCATTCTTTCATAAAACTTGTTTATCAGTTTCTAGGGTTTGGTAACTCTGAACAATAACTTTTCAATAGTTTTTTTTATAATATAAAAGAAGTCATAAGATATCAAACAAGTGATTCTAATTAACCAACTTAAGTTTCAAAGATGATTCACTAGTAAAGGTACAAATAGCTTTTGAGAATCTATATTAGTTTTATAACAATAAAATTTGTCATCGTATTTTATTGGCATTGACATCAAATTAAGTTTTACCTCCACTTGACATGAAATTGAGTTTTACAATAGTAAATAATAGACAAGTAGGGTTCCAACCCAAAAACAATGTTATCAAAAAACAAAAACTAAAAGCAAGAGACAAATATTGTAAACCCCAAATAAAAAAACACCAATAGCAAACAAAATAGATCCCAACATGATCACAAACACCAATTTTTGTATTGAATAAGTCAAATTACACCATATTTCTTGGACTAATCTATTGAAATTTAATGTGTCCTTCTCTTGATTCCTTCCCCTTTGTTTCATTCCCTCCCTTTTCAAATATTCAATCTTTTTCTTGCAAAAAGAGAACCCATTAACCTTAAAATGCAACATTTTGCCAAAAAATATAAATTAAATGAGATTGCAACAAAATATTTTTATATACCAATCTAATCTTCAATAGAAAAATGTTGATTCAAACAAGTTGAATATTTAAAAATAAAACCCATTTACCCTTAAAACATATTATTTTCCTTATCTTCAATCTCGTTTTCAAAACCAAACATTACTATCCCGCTCTTGATTCTTCCTCTTGAACTGTTTTTTTGTTTGTTCGTTTTTTCTTAATTTTTATGTTAATCTCATTCAATTTACGGTTAAAGTGTTTTTGTCATGTTAGCAAGTATTTTTATCACATCACTAGATGCCACGTCATCATTATACTTCTTCAACACAAAATCAACATCACATTAATTGAAATTGTTATATCAATTTAATCAAAATATCATATTAATATATTTAATTATCAAATTTAATTATATTAAAATTAAAAAATAAAATTAATAAATTAATAAAATATAAAAACTCTATTTATATAAATTATTATATAAATACTAAATTTATACTTTTTGTAAAGTACAGGATAATTACATAATTTAACCTTATTTTTAAATTGGTGAATGCTATTTTAAGAGTATGATCCAATGGGATGGATCACCGCCCGTACAATAATATACAAGGGCAATTTAGGAAATGCGAAAATTATCCTCGACACAACGCGCCGACTCCTTAGCCACCTTCAAAAAGAAACAGGCCCTTTACGCAACCCCCAAAATCACGCCGTCCTCCACGCCCAAGTTCCGACCAAGTCTCCTGCATTTCAATCCCAAATTCCCTGCTTCGCCCCTCTATCGACGAAAATGGAGGACTCTCCGATCAACCGTCTCCCCGAAGATTCACTTCACCAGATCTTCTCTTCCCTCTCGCTTCGTCAAATCATGACTTGCCGCTCCGTTTGCAAGCTCTTTAACCAAATCTTGACTTCGCCATCTTTCATGCACCTCATCTCCACCCGATCCCATCTCAACCTCCTCGCTCTCCGCCCTCCTCATCACCATCATAATCACAGTCGCTGCGAGTCCCTTTGTACTTCCCTCCACGTTTACGACCCCGATCAAAACCAATGGCTTCGAGTCAACCTCGATTTTCTTCCTTTCCGGTCTCCTCACCCGGTCGCGTCTTCACTCGGTCTGGTTTACCTGTGGGCCGACTCGGCTGACTCGCCCGACTCGAATAAGTCACTCATCGTTTGCAACCCCTTGACTCGCCAATACAGGGTCCTTCCTCAGCTCGGCTCGGCCTGGTCACGCCACGGCTCGGTCCTAGTTGACTCAAGGAACCGAGTCATGGTCTTAACAGAACTCGCCGCTCTTTACTTCTCCTTTTCTCAAAAAACCCAACAATGGCTCAAATTCTCTTCAAATTTACCTTCCAAACCCCGAAGCCCTATTGTTGTCTCCAACTCCGTTTTCGCCTTATGTGACGTCGGATCGCCGTGGAGGAGTAAGTGGAAATTATTCTCTTGCGCTGTCAATAACATGTTAAACTTAAATTTAAATGTGATGAACAACAATTGGGAATGTTTGGAGAGGCACGAATGGGGGGACATTTTCGATATCATGAAACGACCGCGTTTAATATGCGGCAACGGGAACAAAATCTTGATGATTGGAGGATTAAAATCGAGTTATTCGTTGAATCAATCTTGTTTGACGATTTTGATATTGAGGTTGGATTTGGAAACGATGGAGTGGGAAGAGGCAACGAGAATGCCCGAGGATATGCACCAATGGTTTCAGGATAGTAAGTTTAAGGTGTTTGGAGGAGGGGATAGGGTTTGCTTTTCCGGGAAGAAAGTCCGAAGGTTGGCTCTCTGGGATTGTTGTGAATGGCGCTGGATTGATTGGGTGCCGGGAAACGGGGATGAGGTTTTCCGGGGATTTATGTTTGAGGCTAGGCTTACCTTGCTGCCTTGAATTAATCGGTATGCTGTTGCATTGTTTAGTATCTTGAAATATTATTGTATTTTGTTGATGTTCTTTTTAGTGAAAAGCATGTTTCAAGATAGTGGGAAAACAATGTAATCTGTTGTCAAGAGTGAAAAGGGACAATTCTGTTCAATTTGTTCTCAAGCAATGTAACTTGATGCTGATAATGAGAAACAGAAGAATGTTACATCTCTTTTATTATTCTTTTAAGTGCTTGGTTGAGACATCAAGTTCAAATATTGAAAGAAATGATAGCTTTTGTGTTATTTGTAACTACGAAGTGTTTCTTTTTTCTCTTGGGGAAATGTGGAATAGTTGAAATTAGTGGAAGAAGTGTATGTTACAGTATCATATGATGCATTGTTGATATTAATGGTTTCTATCGTCATTTAGTAATCTGTTGTTTAGATAGTGCAATTGCTAATGCTAACATTATGGTGTGTTTATTGGAGTGTTATTTGTGATTTTTGGTTATTTGGGAATCCATGTATGTGTCTTCCTGTTGAATCCATAGTCTATTCAAGGACATATAATAAAGGCACCAGTTGACAGAACTCTGAAATTAATTCTAATGGTGCTTTAGATACTCTTTTGGGTTGCCATTCTGGACATCCTTTTGTAGGCTTAAAGTGAGGAGGCATTTCACCCTCCATGAGGGGGACTATGAATGGTTGTGCAGGAATTCTTGCCTTTATCTTGTGAATATGTGTTGTTTAGAAAATTATTATGGTGTTACTTTACATATGATAGGCAGCCGTCATTGCCTTTTAATTTAGATGCTATCTGGATAACTTGGAAGGGCTTGAATGTGATTTATCAGCATTGGTGACTTCCTGATCTTTGGGCATAAGAAGACTGACTTTTGTGTTTACAGGAAGATCAATGGATTGAACACACAGATAAAGTTGAGCTTTTTGAAGTAATGCCGACCTGTCATTAAAATAAGTACACCTATTTTTTTTAGGTGTCAAATTTTTCCTTCTTAACATAAGGGAATGGTAGGTGGAAAGAAAATGCATGAGCACATACAAGGCATGGGATTAAGCACACATAGCATACCATTACTAGTTACTTGCATATGAACATGTTTAGGACATGGTCCACAATTCTAGAGAGTTTAGGAATTTTCTGTAGTTATTTTAGCGTGGCATATGTTCTGAAATTTCATCTGGTACTTTATAACTCAGTGCGACTCTTGTCATCGCCACCAAGTACTGCCCCTTGTCATCAAAAGCCTTTGGACAGCATACTCGGTCTAGGCAACATCCATGTAAGATTTAGCTTATATATAATGTGGTATTTTAACAGCTAAGCTTGTGAAAGGAGGATCTCTTCGGTAAAAATCTCTAAAACATTCCACAAAAATTCAGGTTGTATCATACAATTTCATTTTTATGTTCCAAATCTTACAGCCCTAATCTTGAGCTAAAAGATTATTTATTGCCTAGAAAATCCTATTAATGAAAATCCAGGCAAACAAGAGAATTGATCAGCTGCGAAACTGAAGAATATTATTATGGTGTGTGTATTGTGGATTGCCAGGGTTAGGCTTGGATAAAAGAAAAGATGTTAATGAAATTTTAAGTAGGGACGTAAACAAAGATTTAAAAAAGTTAAGCAACCACAGCCCATATTGGGACTAACACTACATTTTATATAATAAGCAAGTATAGCCCAAACTTAATCTCTGTTTCATTTGGGCGTATACCCAAATGCTGTTTATGTTAAACCCCAAAACCCAGCTAGAGCCGAAATCACCTACTCGAGTCGAGTCTTGCAAAAGAGAGTATTCATTTTTACACTCGATGCCTTCTTTTTCTTTGCCTGCGAAACTGGTCGCCTCTAAATATGTATGCTCTTTGCCCTTGCCTTTGCCTGCTTCATTGTTCTGTTTTTGCTGAAAAAGCAACAATGCCTTTAGAAATCCGGCTGCATAACTTAATGGTAACCATTTTCTTTTGTTATGTTGAAGATGTAGTTAAGGGAGTTATTTCGTTGAGAGAGGAAAGGAGTAAAGTTGACCTTAAAATTTTAAGATCGGTTTCAGGATAAGTAAGAAAGTGCTATAATAAAAATAATAATAATTGAGAAGCACATGGAAATGGTGGTACGTCCCTAAAGCTGTACATCCTAGAGTTCTTACCAATATCAACGCTAAAGAAATGAAAGTGGTGATATGATTTATTCCCCCTTAAATAAATAATAGATTATTGGTATAAGGGAAAAGATATTTTGTGGGATAATCTTTGTCGCTTACCAAGCACTCGAATCCTTACATTTAAATAGTATTATATTATAATTCTACCATACATGATGTGAGAGAGTCAAATATTGTTTTTTTTAATATATTTAGGATGAATCTTTTAATTTAAATAGTATTATATTATAATTCTACCATGCATGATGTGAGAGAGTCAAATATTGTTTTTTTTTATATTTAAAGAAGAGAAATTCAAATTCTGTTTTTTTAAACAAGTAAATAATACACCAACCAATGAACCAAATGCTTAAATGCAAGTCGAACATTGCTTCAATAAGAAAAAATAAGTAAAATAGCATTTTTTGTTATTAATACGAGATTTTTTATTTTTTTTAATTTAATTGTGCAATGTCTTCATTATTCTAATTTTTTCACTTATAAAAAAAATGAATCTACTTTAATAAGAACTTGTAATATTTTTTATAAGGTTTCATGTCATTGAATACTTAATAAACTTTAATATTATTTATTATAAACTCATATATTCAATTTAAAATTTATTAAATAAAAAAAATTTTATTAATAAATATCTTTTAGTAACTTGAAATCTGTGACATCAAGCGTTGCTCCCTATTCTGGTAAGTTTGCACCGGATACCATTTCCCCCCACTGACCTGATATAAAAAAAAATTGACAATCCTTCCGTTTCTTCCCCGCTAAAGGCGTGGTGGAGATTGGGTTCCGAACTCCCAAGCCGTCGCTTTGTGAATGATCCTCGGCAGATGTTATGAGCCAAGAAGAACCGGTTACATCAAAGACAAAGAAGACGACAAATTTTGGACAACAGGTGGCGAGTGGAGCACAAAATAAATATCTGTCGTTTTCTGGAAGAGAACCATCCCAATGCAATAGCGTATCTCCATTTCCCCCGCTCGTTGGCCATGCAGACTCACAAAAGGCTAGCCCTCTCTAGGCAATAATTTAATTTAGCAAAATCCAAATATCTCCTCTTAAGACGCTTTAATTTTTCTTGTTTTACAATAATATTTTTGATTTTTTTAATTGTTAATATTGTTAGTCAATAATTTAAAAAAATTAAAATTTAATATTATATAAATATTTTAAGACACAAATAACTTTTGTATCATTTTTTAATTTAGACATATTCTTTTTTAAAAAAAATCTACTCATCTTCTAAAAACTTTAATAAAAAATTAATTATTAAAAATAGAATTTTGAATAAAAAATTCAAAAATAAAAAAAGAAAGATAAGAGAAGAGAAGAAATGAAAGACTTTAATATATCTTCCATAGTATCGAAGTCAATGAATCTTTTCTTCTTCAAATGGTAGAAGTAAAAAAATATCAATAAATTTTTTATATTTTCTTTTCTTTCAAATCAAAATTCTTTTAGTTAAAAAAACTAAATTTGTGATTTGTCAAATTAAAGCATCAATATGATGGGATTTTTAATATTAGTAAAAAGAGGCTTTGTTGATATTATTGAAGATTTAAGAGTCTAGATAATAGGTGGTCATGTTGGTGATTAGTATTGTGTATGCTACTATTAAGTGTGATAATCTTTTTGTAAATCATACTAAGCTTAGTTATCCTTTTTGTAAGGTAACCCAACACTCAAGTTGGCTCAATTTTTTATATATTTTGTAAAGGATTGTAGGTTTTTTGTATTGATTATTACAAAATTCTTCAGGTGGATCAAAATGTAAAAAATGAAAATTTAAAAAAACCTTATCCAAATTCTTTTAGTGCTTTTTATTAAGATTTTTAAAAGAGAAAAGAGATAATGCATTACTTTGAGAAGATATTCGTGTTTAAAACATTTATGTAATATTGGGTTGTATTTTTTTAATTATTGACTAACAATGTTAAGAATTAAAAGATTAAAAGTATTGTTATAAAAAAAGAGATTAAATTTTCCATTTAGAATAATTGAAAGGTTTTTTTTTTCTTTTTTCAAAATATCTCCAATGCCACGCGGCACTGACAGTTATTGTGCTTTGGATTTGACTTCAGTGTTGGTTTAAGATATTTTGGTTTGGTTTGATTTGAAATCTTCTTTCTTTATTGGGAAGGTTGGTCCATGTATTAAAGTGTTATAATGTGGGTAGTTCAATTAATTAAACTGTTTTAATTATTGGGTTTTAAACTTACCCTGTTGTTGTGCACATTGATTGAATTGGGCAGAGACATATGGGCAGAGAATGAAGCAAAAATATCTCAAACAGGGGAGATTGAGATTCTCGACCAGTAATCAGAAACAGAGATGAGTCATACGGATATGGTATACCTCACCTCACTCCACTTCGCTTAACATAGATTATGTTTAGTTTTAGAAAAATGAGATTAGCACTTGTTCTAAGCAATTAAGTAATGTTATTTGGGGATAATTTATAAATGTATTATTTAAAAATAATAGAAAAATAATAAATAATAAATCAATAAGTAGTGGAATTAAGTGGACATGTTAATATATATTACAAAATATCTTTAGACTCATTTTTGTTCTTATAGCAAAATGAATAGGTTCTGTAAAAAGTTAGAAAGTCCGACAGGGGCCAAACCCAATGAGGCTGGCGCCTATAAATAGGATGCCAACCAGTGCCCAAAAACACGTCCCTCTCTCGCTCTGCCCCTCTCCATCTCCGTTTTCCTTGTTACTTCTCAGATCTAAAATAACTCGAGAAGCGGCGGGAAACTTACGAAGAAATAATAATAATAATAAAAAAAGAATCATTTTGCCAAATCCCTCGCATTTCATTTCACTTCAAATTTATCAGCTATTTTCACCTTTGTTTCTGTTGTGATCTAAAAGGTCATGGCTGGGGCTGTAGAGATTGAAACGGCGTCGCCGAACGTCAACAGCAAGATGGAGATCTTGGCGGTTGACTTCGATCCGACGACTGTGGTGGCCGAACCGTTGCCTCCGGTTGTTACGGCTGCCGACGGCAGGCCCAGCGAATCGGATGAGGAAGAAGAAGGCGTGGAGAAGCCGGTGAAGAAGAGCAGGGAGATTGTGTTGGGGAGGAACGTGCATACCTCGTGCCTGGCAGTAACGGAGCCAGAAGCTAACGATGAGTTCACCGGTGACAAGGACGCATACATGGCTGGCGTCTTGGCTCGATACCGCAAAACCCTCATGGATCGGACCAAGCACCATTTAGGTAAGCAAAATGTCTTTCATATTTCATGCAAGCTGTTAATTTGAGCTCATTTTCTGTTTAGTTGTTGTTTAATTGAGAGATTATATATTCATTTAACACACAAAGAACAGGGTAATGTGCCTTGTTTCAAAAAACAAACAAACAAACAAAAAGACAAAGATAAAAAAAAAGATAATGTGCCTTCACTTTTTTTGAACATTTATGACGTAAGTAAATATTGAAAGAAAGTGAGTTCGATGTTGGTCTTTCTTAAAGGAGTGCTTGTGAATTGAAAGATCTTAAATTTGTGTTCCGTTTGATTGTAGTTTGGATTTTGAAAAATGTTGCCAAAAAGCAAAAGCAGATGGTAGAAAGCAAAAGCCCAGTTAACTACAAATGAAGAAATGAATAAAATGTAACACCAATTTTAATATGATTGTTATAAAAATACTTAAAATCATACATTTTGTTATATAAAAATTTATATTTTTAAACTTTAGATTCTTAAAAAATATTTGTTCTTTCTATTGCATAAAAGATGCAGGTTTTTCCCTTTTGCTTGCGGAAAAAAAAAATGCAAATAGCAAAAACATTAACCAATGGTAGCTTAACTTGCAAGGACTTTTAGTTATATTGATCCTTCCATTAATTTTCATTGGGGCCTTGCAATTTATAGGCTATTAATTGAAGTGCAACTTTTCAGGCTATCCTTATAATCTGGACTTCGATTATGGTGCGCTAGCTCAGTTACAGCATTTCTCGATCAACAATCTTGGAGATCCATTTATTGAGAGCAACTATGGTGTTCACTCAAGGCAGTTTGAAGTTGGTGTGTTGGATTGGTTTGCCCGTTTGTGGGAAATAGAGAAGAATGAATACTGGGGTTACATTACAAATTGTGGCACAGAAGGCAATCTTCATGGAATTTTAGTTGGGTTAGTGTTAGTTTTAAACTTGGTTACTTGCATTTCAAACATCACACCTTTTTTTTTTATTTTTTAAAATGATTGGGGAAAAGGAGATTCAAACTCTGCGCTCTAAGCAGAGGGATTATGCACTAATCAATGAACTAAATGCTCAGGTGCCTAAATCACATCTTATTGTAATTGAAAAGCATAAATGACAGAGGTTTGAATTTTGCAGGAGGGAAGTGTTTCCAGATGGAATTTTGTATGCATCACGGGAGTCACACTACTCTATCTTTAAAGCTGCACGAATGTATCGAATGGAGTGTGTGAAAGTTGATACTCTGGTCTCGGGTGAGATTGATTGCGGTGACTTCAAAGTTAAGTTGCTTGCTAACAAGGACAAACCAGCAATAATCAATGTTAACATAGGTCTCTCTCTCTCTCTCTCACTCTCTCTCTTGTGCATATACATCCTCACACTGTCACAGAAATATGCCAACCAAATGTCGTGGGTTTTGTTTTAATGAGATAAATAACTTCGTTAATAATGTTTACTGAAGGAACAACTGTCAAAGGAGCTGTAGATGACCTTGATCTTGTGATACAAACCCTTGAAGAAAGTGGATTTTCACATGATCGGTTCTACATTCATTGTGATGGAGCTTTGTTTGGACTCATGATGCCTTTTGTCAAACGGGTAAGTTATCACGTGTATAGCATCTGTTTTAATGTGTGTTTGAGAGAAGCTAGCAAAGCTTGGTGGTCCCCTGAACTTTCCATCACTCATACCTCGCAAGTTGTGAGCAGAGTCAGCAGACTGCTTTTCTTCTGCCAAATTTGTAATTTTTTACCTAGCAAGTTCTAGAATTTTAAATGGTATGTGTTTCCTCTCGATTTGACTATAAAATCTGAATTAGCCTATAATTAGGGCTACATTGACAGTGCATCAGGATTTTTGCCTGAAGAATAGAGTTAAAGTAACATAGAGTCTTTTATCACTGTTAATGGTCTGTTTATATGCTAGTGCTTTGATTACTACGAATCTATACTTTCTATAATAATTCACCAGGATGAATTATGTGATTTGCTTTCTTGCTTTGGGTGCAGCACTGCTAACTTTCTAATAAATCTTCATGTTTGTTGACATGTTTAAAAGAAGTGAAATGGACTCAATGTGGTTATTAAGCATGTTTCCTCTCTGCAAGTGGATGATGAGTTTGTGTATAATGTTATTCGTTTGTTTCTCAAACTCTTATTTTACTGTGTTACTTTTTCTTCCTGTCTGGATGCCATTTACCACTTAGGTTTGATGGTTGATATTATTCTTGGTGGTGAGCAGGCACCAAAGGTTACCTTCAAGAAACCCATTGGAAGTGTTAGTGTCTCTGGCCACAAGTTTGTGGGTTGTCCAATGCCTTGTGGTGTTCAGATCACAAGGATGGAGCACATTAATGTGCTCTCAAGCAATGTTGAATACCTTGCATCAAGGGATGCTACAATCATGGGAAGTCGGAATGGTCATGCTCCTATTTTTCTTTGGTATACTCTCAACAGAAAAGGTTATAAAGGGTTTCAAAAAGAAGTTCAGAAGTGCCTCAGAAATGCTCACTACCTGAAGGACCGACTGCGTGGGGCTGGGATCAGTGCTATGCTTAATGAACTCAGCAGTACAGTTGTGTTTGAGCGGCCCCGGGATGAGGAGTTTGTTCGTAGGTGGCAACTTGCTTGTGAAGGGAAAATAGCACATGTGGTGGTGATGCCAAATGTGACCATTGAGAAGCTGGATGTCTTCTTGGATGAATTAGTTGAAAAGCGGTCAACCTGGTATCAGGAAGAACATGATCAGCCTCCTTGTGTTGCAGCAGATGTAGGGAAAGAGAATTGTGCTTGTGCTCTGCACAAGTGACAAAATGATAATTTATCATGATCCAGAATTATTCCTCTGCTTTCTTGTAGTTTGACATTTGATTTTAGTGGAATCTAGATTTGATTCACAAGTATTTCCTTTTACCATGAAGGCTTTCGCATTCTCATGCTTGTTCCTTGCATGTATCGAGTAAATGTTGTGGTAATTAGCAATGCGTAACAAGTAGTGAGCATCATTCTCTTGTATCATTGACCTTGGGACCTTTCGGTTCACAGCCATATCTATTTTTTATTTCAAGGTTATGTTGTTTAATTTGTCTGACATTTTTGAATTTGGGATGTGAGATTCCCCAGATTCTACTTCCCAATATGCAGAATCATATTCTAGATCACATCTCCTATTGAAAAAAAAAAAAAGAAAAAGACTTGGCCACCCTTTTCTTTTGAGCGTTAAGTCTGCCAAAGGCAACAAGTCTAGTGTCATCCAAATCCTCCTGCCACTCTCAGCCACCATTTCCATAAGTAGAAGAACATCATGACCTATGCAAGAGTAAAACAAAACTTACTTTTGTACAGGATCTCCAGGACATGCTAAAGACCAAAGGGCTTTTGACAATAACTCTTGCCACTTTGTGGATCAGAGGCTTATGCATGGTCATTATTATTATTTTTTAATCGAGAAAATGAGGATTCAATTATTTTTTTTTTGGAGTGAAATATGATTTCATTACCTTATCAAATTGAATTATATCTAACCTATGATTTTATAATGAAAGATATGAGTGTATAGGGTGTTTTCTTATAAATTTAAATATTTTCAGGTAAAAATAACATATATTTGTCATAATTGCAGTATATTAAAAAAGTACTAAAAAAAATTTGATCTTATCAATTTTACACCATCATCTACAACCAAGGATTCTTGAATTAAAATTAATGCCTAATGTTGATAAGAAAATTGATCAATTGCGATATACAAGAACGTATAAACACTATTTTTAAAAAATAATTAAAGTTTGCAGGGTTTTATTTTTATTTGTTATTTTACACTTTATCTTGCTAATTTTATTTTTATTAGCATTCAAATTCAATGTCCAGTGGTCTTTGACACCCCATGCGTCACCTTGGGTCCACAGTGAAAGTTTATTGGGCTCCAATGATCGGACTCAATGTCTGAGCCCGTTAATGAAAACAAGCCCAATAGAGATATTGAAAAAAAAACAGATCCAAATAAACAAATAAGATTAAAAATTAATAAACTAAAATCAAAGCTAATTAAGGCTCAAGAACATTCTAAAAGAGAGCAAAAAATTAAGTAAAAACATTAAACGAAGAAAAAGAAAAAGCCAACTAGGCATGGCGACAAATCCATGCCCAGCACAGCAAGGTGCGTTTTGCACCTTGTCAGGCAAGGTTATGCGCTATCAGATGCGAGAAATTCGCGTTCAGCAAGATGCCTCATCTGCACAGGTGGCTGCATCCTTAGGATCCAAGAGGGCAATCATAAAATACTGCCCTCTTCCCAAATCGCAGAAAGCCTATTTTTGAAAACCAGAAAAAAAAACCTTAGAACCAAAAGTCCTAACTTTCCTACTTTACCAGCCATATACCATAATCAAAAATCAAAACCAAAAATTATAGCAAACAAGCAAAAAAAAAAAGCAAAAAAGGGAGTAAGAGTAAAGCAATGGGGAGATTTCGTTACTGATTTTCGGAGATTTAAGGAATTTTTAGGGCTTTGATGATTTCCTTTTTTTTCTTTTTCTGATCGAAGGAGGAAAAATGAGGGGGTTTCACAAACTAAAGAAAGGAAAAGTTTTTTTTTCATGTGGTGCCATTGGAGGTGGGGAACGGTGGTGAGAAATAGGGTTTAAGCTTTTGGTTTTGGAGCTTGGAGAGGAAGGAGAGAAGGTCGTTGGGTAGAGAGAGAAAGTGAGAAAGGAAAATGAAGATAGAGGAAGAAAAGGGACTTAAATAACTAGGGTTAGGGGATTTCAAAATGGCAGCATTTTTGCCACAGTTCTAGAACAACAAGGAGGTTCTTGAATGGCACAGTTCGGAGGATTTCAACATACCAAATGGTGCATTTTGTTGGGCTTTGGTGAGCCGCTATGATCCTTCACAGCTTTGTCACTCCTGGGCTAGTCCAAGCCTAAACAAGGTAAGGCTCTTTCATTGGTTTTTTAATTGGATGTGGTCTGGTTTGAGTGTATTGTGGTTGGCCCAGTATTTTGTTGAAAAATATATTAACCAAGTCATGTGATTAATTAATATAAGATGATGCAAAAAAAAAAATAAAAAAATTATATAATGATTTAAGGTAGGAATACTGAGAGAGAAAAAAATCAAAAAACTATAAATAGAAAATAAATAATATTTAGTTACAAAAAGAATAGGTTTAGATAGGTAAAATGTGTAGAAAGAAAATAAATGATAACAGATTTAGTTAGGAAAAATATAGAAAATAAATAAATATTTCGTTACAAAAAACGTATTTAAATAAGAAAAAATGGAAAACCTAGTTAAATTGAAATTTCTAGACTTGACTTACGCTTGGCTTATATCAAAAGAGGTTCGATTTTAAATTCTTTAATGCTAACTTAATCGGATTAACATCATTTTTAAACTCATATTGGTGTCAACTAAATTTGGCTTGGAATCTCTCATTCCAACTTAATTAGGCTTCAATCCTTTCTTCATTGGTTGTTTTATGAAAATGAAATACTCAAATCCTTCCATCAAAGTTTTACAACTTCAATACTTTAAGTTGGGTGAATTTCCACTTTTAAAGATTGGGACATGCAATAAGTTTGATTCTTGTTTTGAAAATGATCATGTGCATGGTTAGGCATTTATGCATTATTGAAATGATTGAATGCTTTCATGTTTATGATTTATTAAGGTTCCTTGACCCTTCTTTCGCTTCATTCAACCTTTCCACTACAGCTTTCACTCATCTTTGTCTGTGCTTTTTTTCATTGGCTGACATTCTTAATTTTCGTTAGGCACGCTTTCCTTTGACTTTGACCTTTTTCATGTTGAGGCTTCCTTTTCTCTTTACCTCATCATTAAGTCTTTTATTGAACAGCAAATGTAGTTTCTTGCTTAATTAGTTCATTTCCTTACAAGTCATCGTTCATTTCCATGACAATTATCATTGGAATTATATAATGGTGGATAGTAGGGTTTGAAATAAAAAAGGGAAGGAGAATTTCATATATATAGATATTTGCAAATAGCTCAAGGGAAAGGGAATTTATAAAGCAATCATTAGATGTTTCAAATAATGAACACTCAGACCATTTAGAGTAAACAATCTGATCCTTTGACTTCAAAAATTGTCCTTGATTGATGTCCTGAGCAAATTCGAAGGTTGTGGATTCCATGATTTCTCAATGTTTTGCAAAGTTAAGGGACTCCATTTTCAATGCGCTTTTCATACTTTATTTTGTTTGTCATCTGAGGCGGCATCTTCAGATCTTCATCCTAAATTTCTCTTTTTGGTCTCAAGTCACCCTTTATGGGTTTTCAACATGAGTTACCTCTTTGGATTCGAGTGGCCTTTTTCGGATTTTCAACAAGAATCTTTCCCTCTTTTTATTTTTTTTATTTTTTTACCTTTATTTTTTT